TTTATATTTTGATACCTTACACCTGAATAGAAACCATAACTCACCTATGGACATCAACAGTTTCTATCAAACGAATAGTCACCCATGCCCAAAGGAGAATGACATGGTCACATAATAGCATGATTCCAATGAAAAATCCAGTTCCAAGAATCAGAGTTTCCAAGGGATGTGCATATTCAGCTTCCATTCCAAATGGAGCCTAAAATAAATAAATACGAATTCCTTAATATATTGTGACTGTTAATTTTATGTGTCAGCTTAGCTAAGCTACAGTGCCCAACTGTTTGGTTGGTCAAACACTGTACGGCTGGGAAGGTATTTTGTAGATGTGACTCCTAATCAGTAGACTCTGAGTAAGGGAGATTACCCTCCATAATGCAAGTGGGCTTTACCCAACCAGTAGAAGGCCTTAAAAGCAAAGACTGAGGTTTCACAAGGAAGAAAGAATTCTCACGACTGCAATAGAGAAACCCTGCTTGAATTTCCAGTCCTTGGTCTGTCCTACGCAATTCAGACTTGCCAAGCCCCACAATCACATGAGCCAGTTCCTTAAAATAAATCTGTGTGTGTGTGTGTGTATGTATCTCCTACTGATTTTGTTTCTCTGGAGAACTGTGACAAATACATATATTCTAATTTATGCATACAGTTTTATAAAATTAGATTGTTTCTATAGGTAATGACAGTATATCTAACCATAGATATATAACAAATAACAGTAATTCTTAATAAAAACATCTTTTTGTTCCTACCAAACATCAAAAGGTCTAGGGATGTCCTTAAGAGAATCTTAGTAACTGCCTTTGATGGTTTAAGATAAAGGCATTAAAAAATTATTCAGTCTTCCAAATATAGTCTAACAATCTGAACATGTATTTGGCAACCTTTGTTTCCCAGATACATATGAATTCTTGTATTTTCTTTCAAAGGTTTCCAGTAAAAAGAAGATGAGCTAAGTGGGTGCTCCTCTTTATGGTGATGAACATGGGAGGGGTATGAAAACATGTGCCAAACCCTTCCCAGATTCCCACATCCCCAGGGGCAAGAATCAATGAAATTCTGGATCAGACAGTCCCATAGAGTTTCCCTAATCTTGAGCATTAGTCAGAGCCCAACCTATATACCTCAAAGTGCTCATGATCTGTCTATTATTCTTTGACACTGTAAATTCAAATTCTTTGTCTTCCTGACGCCGGAAAATTTGTCAAAAGAACAACTCACTGGGTTCAACAAGCAAACATCAATAAAAATATTAACTATAAAAAAAAGATAAAGGCGGGGCGCCTGGGTGGCTCAGTCGTTAAGCGTCTGCCTTCGGCTCAGGTCAT